AAATAAAAATTCCCCGGGGGTAGGGTGGGGCAGCAATGGGCAATCAATTTTTAGATATGAATATATAGAAGAAAAAAATTAATATCTTCTTCTCAAAAACAGCAAAGCCATGATTAGTTATATTGATATGGAAACATTCACAGGTTGTGTAGATTTAAATCTGTTCAAATCATAACCCCCGTGAGTGGGTTGGGACAACAATAGTGGATCAAAGTTTTACATAGGAATACGTAAGAAAAATCTTTATCTTCTCAAGAACAGCAAAACCATGGTTAGTCACAATTATATAGAAGCATCCCCAAATAGTGTAGATTCAAGTTTGCTAAGTTCATGAGCCCCGGTGATACGTTGGGCCACAATGGGGGATCGAAGTGTTTTACATTGGAATACATCGCAAAATCTTTAAAAATCTTCTTAAAGCCATGATAAGTCATATTTATATAGAAGCATCCTTAGGCCAAAATGAAAAATACCTTTGTTTCCCCTAACGCGACCGACCCACTTAAATCGTGCCGACTGAAAAGTTTTTTTTAATAAGATTATTTAAATATTTTTTTTATTGTTTATAAACTTCATGAAATACAATTTCATCAAAGTCCGTTTTTTAACAGAACGGCGGCTTTTGTTTTACTCTCATTTGGCGCCTGCAACATATGACCACAGAGGGTTAGTTCGTGTTATAAAACAATGGTTACGTATGAATCTTATTATATAATCTTTAACTTATTAGAATTCTACACTCTTGAGACATTGCGTGAATTAAATGTACCATGACTAAGGAGTGTTAAGATGGTATTTACAAATGTGTCTTCTAAGATTAACTTATGTAGTAGGCATGGCAAAGTCTGCCCCATGATCCTATTTTAACTATAAAGGACCATAGGAGTTGTAAATATGTCTTTGTATAATTATTTCATCTTGATAAATATAATTCAGATGTCGTTTCTTCCTACCTTTTATCTATGGGGTATTAACTTCGTGACTATAACATAAGATATATGAAACTTTGATCATTTTAGATATGGTTTGGTTGAATTAAATATTTCTTTATACATATGCACTCTTTCCAAATAGTATTGAAATCTTTAAAATTGGCTTATGGTACGGCTTCCTGAGACGTATAGTGTATTTTTCTTTAGTTAGGCCCTTGAAAATAGGTTGTTTCTTTGCTTTAAAATATCTTTAAAAAATTGTTGGGCCGGTGGAGGGCACCTAATTTAGACTTTTACTTGACACTTACAGCCATTGATCATTAATTAAGCATCAGTAAGGGATCTTTTTCATGCCAACATCTACATGTATACTGCGACAGTGTACCTGCGTTTTTTACGGTCTCATTCGACTGACCAGTCTCCACGTCTCTTGTCGGGACCTGAGACTTAGAATAAGCTCCTGAATTACGTCTCGACTCCAAAAACGAAACACTAGAATCACTGCGCCACGCGAGGCCTTTGACATTTTGTCTGTGTAAGTACTGGAAGATGATAGTAGGTTTGAAAAATATACTCGGATGTCCGATGGTTTAGTATTTGCGATTCTTTTCTTTTTGTAAATATTCGATTTCAGTAAATCTACGCTGGCCTGAGATATTTCACAAGTTTAAATGAATAATATTTGTGAATTAATTTACCATACATGTTGCTTCATTTGTATGATATTCGGTTTAAAAATTCATTTCTTTTGTTCTTTCTTATTTATAAAGATAGGTATTTTCAGAACTGCTGTCAGAAAAAAAAAATAATTTACCTACCTACCTACCCAACTTGAGATTTTAAGGTCGGGTTAGGGGAAACAAAGATATTTTTAATGATGGCCTTAGGTAGTGTAGATTTAATTTTTTTTTTTTCAAATCACGACCCCCAGGGGTAGGGTGGGGCCATATTGGGGGATCAAATTTTTACATAGGAATACATAGAAAAAAATCCTTCAAGAATAGCAAAGACATGATTAGTCGTGTTTATATGGAAGCTTCCTCGGGTAGTGTGGGTTCAAGTTTGTTCAATTCATATAGCCCCGGGGATAGAATATAGGGCCACAAAGGGCAAACAAAGTTTTACATAGGAAGATACAGGTAACTCTTGATGGCTCGAACTTCGATCTCTCGAAGTTCTTGATCGCTCGAAGTGAGTCTCCGGTCCCGAATTTTTCCACTACATCACTAAGCAAATTTACTCTTGATTTCTCGAACTCTTGATCTCTCGAAACCCTTGATCCCTCGAAGTCAAAATGCAGTCCCGCTATGCATATTCTATTAGAATTTACCCTCGATACCTCGAAGTGGCTATGTGTATACAAGATTATATAATTAGCTCCTTTACCTGGACATTTAAATGGCCCCAGGCAGAAGACGCGGGTCTCGAGGGACAGGATGTTTATTCAGGTGACACTTATGCTGCAAGGTGATAATTGATTTATAATGAATCATATTTTGCCTATATGCTATTAAAATAATTATCATCGACTGTTTTAAGATAATTTAGAGACGCAGTGTCATTGAAAAGTAGTAATATATTAAAAGACAAAACACTAATTTAATTTTTATTTCGAGTCAGTGTCAAAGTTAAACGAAATATGAAAAAAGCAGAAACAGCCTCAATGTCAATATGAAGACTTTTATTGCGGACAAATACTTACAGAACTGTGTTCAATGATCATGTTTGGAATAGAAAAAACTCTATACGACGCTGTAAAATGTCGTTTTCATGTAACGAATGCGTAGTATGATGTTCGTATTACAAAGAATAAATAAATATACATGATATGACGATATACATTTTTTGCTTTACTCAGTTTAATGAAATATTCATCTGAATTACGAAAAAATATCGTTGTTTTATAAAAACCACGTGTAAAAGGTTAGCACTGCATGAAAATTATTACATCCGGTAAGACTAATTTTAAAACCTGTCAACAAACCCGGAAAATTCCGGACTCTTGAAAACTCGAACTCTTGATCTCTCGAAGTTTTTCCTTGGTCCCGCGGACTTCGAGGTTTCGAGAGTTACCTGTATAGGAGAAATCTTTTTTAAAAAACTTCTTCCCAAGAACAGCAGAGTTATGATTAGCCATTTTGATATGGAAGTCTGACCGCCACATTTCTCCCTCCTTAAAGGTCTTCTGCCTCCAAAGACACCAACTCAGGCTCTTCCCTCGCAGGTCTTTCACCTGTCACTTCTAGGGCATGGTTGGGCACCAAATGTAAGAGGAGAGGAGAATAATGCGACGGACCAGACCGGGATTCGAACTTAAGCCCCTGAATCTCCAGTCAGGTGCTCTACCAGTAGAACTATCTGGCCACCGGCGATCGAACCCGTCTGACCGCCACAGGTACATGCACTGGTGAATTCTAAAAAGCGTATTGCATTGGATCGTGACTAATTTAAGTCTTACATAGGATTCAGGAAATAAAGGCGAATGAAGAAAAATATGGTCGACAGAGATAAATTATTATTACGTGTTAATTGCCCACAGTTTCTGGTTTAAAAAAGACTTTTGTGTAAGAGAGTAAAGAACGTTTTGAACCTGGGTGACCTTTCATATATCACACAATGTTTTCCTACAGACGCTTGTCCTCAAAATAATGTTAGAATTAATACATATACATTGTATTTTTCCGAGAATTTGTCATTAAAATATAGCTACTTTATAAAGTTTCCTCACAAAAAATTGAGATACTTTACCAAGCATTTGTGCAAGATAACAGAGGATGTTATTTACTATATACCGGTACAAGTCTATTGCAAATCACTAGTATTGCCAATGACGAATATCACAATTTTTTGGTGTCTCTATATACTTAGACATTTTGAAAACAGTTTAAAACCACAAGATAATAATAATTATGATTATTTTGTTAATTGTATATTATGAATAGATACAAAACAGATATTCTATCAACGTGTCGTAAGACCTTAAGGACATACCGGAAAATTAGTCACCGACAGCGTTCCTTGAAAAGGAGTGTCTACAATTGTCAAAGAGGGAACAAAAAGAAATGATTAACAAGGGGTCCATGGGCTAAAACACACACCAGAGTAACTTTGGCCCTGCTGTTCTTTACCAGATGTTCCCCCTTGTAATACTTATTGTGGCCCCACCCTACTCCCACGGTTCATGATTTGAACAATTTAGAATCTACACTACCCAAGGATGCTTTCACATAAGTTTCAGCTTTTCTGGCCCAGTGGTTCTTGATTTCTCCTATATATTTCAATGTAAAACTTTGATTCCCTATTGTGGCCCCACCCTAACCCCAGGGGCCATGATTTAACAATTTAGAATCTACACTACCCAAGGATGCTTCCACATCAGTTTCACCTTTTCTGGCCCAGTTGTTATTGAGAAGAAGATTTTTTTTAATGACTCCACCCTATTTTTGTCTTTTCTTAATTATCTTGCCTTGTAAAAAGAATTGGCTCTTCATTTTGAAAATTAAAACTCCCTTTTATCCAAGAATGCTTTGTACCAACTTTGGTTAAAATTGGCCCAGTGGTTCTTGAGAAGAAGTTGGTAGTGTGAAAAGTTTACAGATGGAGAGATGGACGGATAGACAGATGGACGGACGACTGACAATAAGTGATCAGAAAAGCTCATCTAAAATTGTACAAATTTCTATTTATTCCATCCTATTCATGGAAACAACGTAAATTTGAACATCAAACCTTGCAAGTATACACACCAATGCAACTCCTTGTGTAAAGCACAATCTCTATAAATTCTCGTATTGTAGATCAAATTGTATGTACCTCAATGCATAAGGTTTCACATTTATATACAATAATACATGTACAAAACTCATCTCAGATCTTCATCTTTTAATAAAAACAAATATAGAATAACACAATTATAACATAAAGGGAAATAATTTACGTAATTTTCATTAAACAATTTACAATAATCAGTAAAAATATTACTTTCAACACACACAATTAAAACATAAAAAGTACTAGAAGAGGTTCATTTTGTGAATTTTACCGAACACTTTAACATGTTACAAACTTCATTTGAACTTCTCTTGGACAGGTTTTTTGATTCACTAGTGGTTTTTTTTCTTCATTGCTCCTCTATTCAAAAGAAGAAATTATAGTAAATGTTTGTCATATCCAAGTATATGTAGATATTACAGTCGTCTTTCTTTCCTCTTTTTTATTTACATGTAAATTGATTCTATGATTTAGTAAATAATATTTCTAAATACTAGTCATGGTGGTTATTTGTATTTGAGGCTTTTTCTAAAGATTTAAGTTTTTCTTCCAAATTTAGCACAGCCTTTCAGTATACTGCAAAGTTTAATAAAAAACAAACAAAAATAATATGAAAAGCAATATTTTTTTGAATACGTGGAACAACAGAAATAAGTTTCAGTTCACAAGAAATTTTCTCATTTAATGTAACAAATTCAAACGCATATGAGGGTTGTCCCAGCAAAAATGTGAACATTTTCAATATTTTTTGTTTCACTAATATTATAAAGTTAAACATTGGCATGCATTAAAATCAACATTTTTTGAATAATTCACAGAAAATTCAGTAAAATATCTCTATAAAAATTATTTTTCTCTTTGGTAAACAAATCATTCGAAATAGCTACTGGCACAACATCAATCTGATTTAAATCAGATCTTTGTTACGCTCCAAAATTCTGATGGTCGTTGTACAGTGACCTTCAGAATTTCGGAGCATAACAAAGATCTTATTTTAGTCAGATTGGTAGTTTATGAAATATTTAAAAAGTTCAGGTTTTTCTGTGACAACCCTCGTATATTCACCTAAATTCTGTTACTTAGAGTTTATGAAGCATTTTATTATAATATAATACACTTTTCTAAATGCATGTGGGATTTTGATGCTGACTTTTCTGAAAATTTATTTTGTGAATTTAGATTTACTCCAGAAAAAAAAAACTCACCTTGTGGACAGTTAAACATGCAGCCTGTCAGACATTAATAAAAAGGAAAATATTTCTATTAGTATCATGCCATCAGCTTTACTATATTCAAACATTCAATTTAAACATAACATACATACACTTCCCTCAAGTACATGTACATGTGACTCATAGGAAATGTTAGTGAACAAAAATACAAATTAGCAGAAATGTATAGGTATTGTTAGGGGAGGAAGGAGATTAATGTTCAATCTATGTAATGGAAAGATTATCAAGCTTCATTTAAAAGAAAAAAAAACATTCATTAGAAACATGAATATCATACAATTTTAGCATGTAAGTTCTGCACTATCAAAACTCTTCAGCCACTGCAGTCAGCCTTATTTGTAATACAGCACTTACATTTATTTTCATTAACATCATTGGGCATATATACACAGGCAGGTGTTGTGCAATTAAATGAAACATTCCAGTTAAATGTTCTATATCTGTTAGGCCTTATCAAAATCTAATAATTTATAGCAATCAATATTATTTACAGGTACATGTCATTTTCTTTTTATATTTATAAAAGCTTTATACCTTTATTAAAGCTTTTTTTATATATACCTTTAGTTGAAAGACTTTTACAAATGTAAATCTCAGGTTACTTATTATACCTCTAACCAATGTAAGTAAGAGTCTTGTACATTAAACAGAATTAGTAAATAAAGGTATATTTATACAGGATTAGCTGAAGATAATTAGAAATACATAAGTTTTCAGTTTGTTCATAATTCAACTTACTCATTTAAGGTGTTCTAACTGACCTTCAAGTTAAAATAGATAGGTTTAATTAGGTAAATAATCTTTACATTATCATATTAAACACGAAGCAAAAAAAAAAGATTAAAAATCATTCATTTATAATAGTTCAGAGTTTATAATTAAGAGTGACAGCTGTATGAGATTTTTGGTGATACAAGTGAGAAATCCAAAGAGGAGAGAAAATTATACTGTTTTAGACTAGCTATCCCACTCCTCTAATTAAATCTAGCTTAACTACAGAATATATGTTTTATGAACAAGATTCTAGTAAATAGTATTTTTGTTTATGTATATATGAGCTAAAAATATAATCCCACAGCATTCCTCTATATTATATGCCTGGTGTCAATCATGAGATATGGATTTACATGTACATATGTGTAGTACACTGAATATTCTTGCTTAAATTTCACTACCACTTTAGAATTGTGATAAAATTATTACAAAATCCAATCAGAAATCTTTATTAATATTCATAATAATTCAAATATTGGAAAAGAAAATCATTTACCTTTCTCTTGAAAACACAAAAATAGTCAGTACCTTATCATCAGTATTACATACTTAAATAGAAAGTCAACCTCTATCTTCTAAAAAATCATTTTTTAAACATCCTTTTAGAAATCCTGCTGCTCTATGTAACTTACAAAAGAAATACATGTTTTACCACAACTCTTTAGAGCAATAACCCTATCCATTGATATTAAACCATAACAATTTTATATGCAATTTCTTAAACATACTGTACAGTTCATCAGCAAAGCAGTAAGTCAAATAGATTGCTTTGCTACTGCATTAAAATTGACAAACTTTGTTTGAAGGCAAACAATGCTGCTGCAAATAAAAAACCTACAAGACATTTTATATAATACATGTATCTAGCAAGTAGTAATAGCCGGGACCCAAAGCCAATATAAAATGCAGAACAGGAGGTTATATTTTCATCATACCGTGTCCTTATCTGAGGCTGTATATATTTTGTGCCGCAGTAGAACTCCTGAGAAAAATCAAGCATTAAATTCTAATGAAAGGTTGTTAATGCTAAAATAACAAAATGTCCAACTTTCTGAAGCCTTTATAAAAGCAAACATGCAAGGTGTACTATTGTAAATTATGAAACTAAAATTAAATTTATAAACCATTGATTATCTGATGTTAATGATTTAATAAGAGAAAAAAAGTTTAAATCAAAAGATTGCCAGCAATTAAAATAATTGTCATTCAAGCATTAAAAGCAACTAATATAGTGAAAGGAATCAAATAAAATAATATGAATCATAGAGTTTAATCATATGAATTTACTGTCTACTGCATATATGTTTCAAACATTCTTAAAATTCATCTGACATGCAATTCAGTGCAAAGCATCTTTTTCACTTTCTATGTTATCAAATAAAACTTAAAAGTATTCAAAAAATGGATAGCACCATAAAAATTAAAGGAAAAAAATCTGGGGACAAATACAATAATAAATTCAACCAAAACAACCTTTCTCAAATCTAAATCTATGTTTAACAATCAACTGCTTTGTACAGGCACTCACCAGCTAGAGGTTTTTGGCTTAATATCATCTATAATGGCCTGTACGACTTCCAGTGTCGTTGCCTGGCCTCCTAAATCTGGAGTCTGGATCTATATAGCAAAGTTCATAAATATGATGAAAAAAATTAATGATTATGATAATGGTATGATACTAACAGAATGATATACATGTGCAGTTGTGATTTGTATTAATATTTTGCATAAAATTTCTGATATATATTAGCTTTTTTCAATATGAATAAAATTGGCAGAATGGAAGCTAAAAGATTAAAATTCTAAATCATTTCAACGTTTGAAGTCCTTACTTTATCCTCAGACAGCACCTTCATCACAGACTCTCGGATCAATTTAGCATGGTGGGTATAGCTACATAAATGTCAAAATTTCTGATTAAAATAATTTTACATGTACATGCTGGATAAAACATACTTTAAATGAATAAAATGTGGCCTGAAACTTTCTTCAATTTTCAGATCTTAATAGTATGTAATAAACAAGTTGATTCTTACCCAATGTAATCCAGCATATCACAGCTGGCTAACAGCATTCCTGTAGGATTGGCAATATTCTTTCCCTTCATACTGCGTCCAGAACTTCTAGTTCCCTGTGAAAAAATTGTTTACATTAGCATTAGTTGTTTCCTATTAGTATAAAGAATACCACTAGATATCATAAACTTTAACATCTATATGATTGAGTTTTTGTTTTCTAAATATTAATTCTACTTTTCTCAGAAATGTACAGAGAAAAACGACATTTTTTTCTTAAGCTTTTAAACAAAAAAAAATATCATCAGATATCCTCAGAAGAGCGAACCATTTCAAAGACAGCGTAATTGTCTCCAATGTTCATCCCGGGAATCACCCCAGGGCCTCCGACCAATCCAGCGGTGATGTTACTGAGAATGTTACCATAGAGATTGGGCATCACCAGGACGTCAAACTGCTGCGGCTTAGACACCATCTTGTCAAAAATAAATAAATATGTAGAAATATTACATGTGTACCTTTTCAATTATGAATACTACAAGTCCAAGGATGTAATAGAAGGCTAATTATTGCAACATGCACATATGTTATTTAATAAGCACAATTTAAGAATTCTCTCTATAAAACTACAACCTTTTTTCACTGCAATACAAATGATCTTAAAACAGCCTTGGTCTTAATACATATTCCTTTCAAAATGCTGATAAAGTTTTAACACTTGCTGCACTAACTTTCAAAATCATAAAAATAATAATCATAAAATTAGCCAAGTGCAGACAAAACATGCAATACACACCTGCATACTAGCATTGTCCACAATCATGTCACTGAATTCAATATCTGGATACTGACAGGCCACCTTTCTACAGGATTCTAAGAAAAGTCCATCTCCTAATTTCCTTTAAGAATTAAAGACATAATTAAATTAAAAATCATACTGCAGTGGTATGCATTATCTGCTAAAAGCAAGACGTTTGTGCAGGGGAAGGAGGTAAATTTGACAGGGAGATGAAATTATTTCATACAGCACAATGAACCTACATGATGTTTGCCTTGTGAATAGCTGTGACCTTCTTTCTTCCATGGGTCTTGGCAAATTCAAATGCATATTTAGCAATCTTGGTAGACTTTGCTGCTGTTATGATCTTCAAGTTCTCTATACAGCCTGGTACAATCTGTAAATACATGTACTATTACATGTACCAGACCTTTACTCCATTACTGAACTGAATTTCTATGAACCACATTACATGTCTGTTCGTGCATTACAAGTTTCTTCATGAAGAAAGAATTTTTTCTTTCATGAATTAAGCTTTCTAGCTAACTGCTGTAATAAAAGTCTTTGAGAGACATGTGAGATGAATGGTCTGATGTCTTACTTCATATTCCAAGTTTGAGTATTCTCCCTCCGTATTTTCCCGTATTAAGATGATGTCTAGATTCTGGTGTCGAGTTTGAACTCCAGCGATAGATTTACACCACACAATACTGGCAAATAAATCCAACTTTGTCCTATTGAAAATGTGAATAAGATTTATTTATTTATTTAAAAGGACTATTTAGGTATTTATGAAATTAAATCTGATAATGAATGCTTTAAGCTCTTCAATCAAATGATGTTATGTTAGAGTGTGTAAAACCCATTTTCATTGTTAAAATGATGCAGAAGTTACTATTACAGTTTGTGTAAAGACATTTCAAATGCTTTGACACCTACCTTAGTTCAACATTCATAGATTTAAAACCTGGTTCATCAAATTTGCTCTCAATATTCCCTGCAAATATCATCAAATTTTAGTTCATAATTATCTAACACACTCAAATTTATTTCAATATGAGTTCTTTTGATTGTTTTTGTTTTGTTTTTGTCTTGTTTGTTTGTTTTTTTCTTTGTGACAAAACTCCACATTATTTTGGTTAACCCAGCCTAGAAATTGATTTCATCATGGACTTCCAACTATTATTACTTCTTCTTATTAATTACTTAGTATAACAAATAACATTGCATTACAATTTAGTCATAATAAAAAATATTGTAATACCTTTAAAATTGTTTCCTATATAATTCTATACTAAAAAAAAGTCTAAAATTTCCAATGTTTTACTGAGCGGTCATAAAAAAATTGATGTTTGACAGCAGAGCAAGATATTGGACCTGTCGAGATGTTGGACCGCTTATGTCACAGTGTGGGCGGGGTAAGCTGTATCTTATTTGCATTCGTTGGAGTTCAACAGAACTTTAAAGAATTGACCAAGTTTAAACCGCAGTGTGGATAAACAAAATTTACATCATGTTATGTCAAAATAAAAAGTAAAAGGTATAACAAAACATTTATTGACTGTGCTCTTGGGCAAAATGCGTTCTGTCAACCCCTCGAACCAAACTGTTTGCCTTCGGCCTAACGGCCTCAGGCAAACAGTTTGGTTCTTGGGTCTGATAAAAAGTATGTTGCCCTCGAACCCAGTCAATAAATGTACATGTATAATATTGCATGACGTTTAACCTTTAAGAGCTATCCCATTGCGCTGCACTGACAAAATAGCACTGTGTAGTGTTTCTTCATTGCTTGTGCTGGCATTTATTTCCAAGTTCTCGAAATCTACAGGGGCACCTGCATATCTAAAGAGAAATAATTTCCATCAGAAAAATTTTTTAATTGACATCAAAAAATGCAACTCATGAATATACTAGAAAAACATCATAGATAGTCAAATACATGTATATTATCAAACAGTTATTAAAGAAATACAAGAACATTTTACTTCAATTTTGCAAAAGAAAATGTATGCAAAGATTGCTTTTAAATGCAAAAAATGCTTAAACATTAGATATGGAAACTGAATAAAAGGAATTTACAGTTTTTCAAGTTAAACTGTTGAATTGCTTCACTTCTAATATTCAATTCAATTCAATTTATTCTCACATTGTATAAAACAACATAGAGAAAATACAACAAGGATATCAAACAAAATACATGATGCAAGAGTGTACATTTTGTATTAACCTGGAAAGGTAACTCTCTAATTAATTATATTGATGAATTTACAAAGGTTATTGATGACAGATACCTTTTTACATGAAAATATATTTGAATATAAACTTTACCTGAACACTTCCTCTACGTAGGATAACAACTCGGGTCCAACTCCATCTCCTGTCAAGGCCGTCACCGTAGTTCTTCCACCATATTTACTCTGCATCAATACAAGCAAACAAAATGATTACAGACAATTTGTTTACATGTTTTTAATTTCTTATTTGCAAAGTACAATCCAATGATTTCTTTTCAATATTTTACATATATAAGAATCTTTCAAAATCTAGAAAAAAAAATTGAATTAAGATTATGCAGTGCATGTAAAGGTACATAATTATTTTCCTTGGATGCGAATTTAATAAGGACAAAATAAATATAAACATGTACATACATATTGAGGCTCTGTTGAATAGTCTCGGCGTTGTTGATTAAAAAGACTTCCAGTTACTCTATTTGATCCCTACAAAATATCAAACAATTTGAAATTAAAATACTTATCAAATAAAGATGCATAAGCTTTGATGACCACCTAAATGTTTTGAACTCTGAAAAATCTGGAACTCTCAACACATAAACTGCTAAAATTTTTTTTAGTAATTACAAGTTCCTCATATTGCTGTTACGAACCCATGGTCCTATCAAGCATAGTAAATGAAAGATTACAAAGCTCACATTGAGGAATACTATCTTCCGGCAAAGTCACAAATAAGAAATTAAAGATTGATAAGATGCATGGCTTATTGAAAGTCTTCATCATTGAATATGGCATTAATATATACATGTGTTTAAAAGACAAAGCTTCAGAATTAAGTTTTGAGGTATGTGATCCTTAATGAATCCATGCACCTTTGATTCACATAGGGCTTACATTTACTGCACAAAGTCCTCCTCAAATTGTAGAAATTATGAACCGAGGATATTGGCCTGGGCAGCTCAATGATAGAACACCTGACTAGTGATAAAGGGGCCTGGATTTGATTCCTGGTCCAGTCATATATTTTCTGTATTCTTGCCTCACGGTTCGTAATCTTTTAGGACATTTTGCATTCTTTGATGCCCAGATTCTGTTAGAATTCTTTCATTTTGGCTCAAAATAGTATACCCAGGTCACATCACCAGTAACTAAATTATCAAGTCTTTTTGGTATATTTTGGATATAATTTTAATAATTTCTTTGCATTTTCAATACAGACTCTCTTTTGTTCATCACTATGCAAATGAGGTATCCACCTAGCATTTATCTTTCTAAGCTTTAGATATTTTTTTCAAAATGCCATGCTATAACAACATGTTTGTCATCGGAGCCAATTGCCTCACAATTATATCTTGCTTCTTTCCGTAAGATTTGGTGGATTTTTATGAACAGATGTTATTATTGGTTGTAACTGTTGTAGGGTGACTTAGGAGAGCAGCATCTTTGAGGTGTTCATAACCTAGCTGTTTTAAATTTAGCAACCCACCTACAAACAGACCTATGAGACATTTTACCATTCCCATAGATATCACAGACCTCACGATGAATATCTACGGGTTTAATGCCAAGTAAGGACCTACCTTTTATATAGGCCCTAATTTCAAGTGCATTAATTGTTTGCTCTTTTTCCAGTCATGTTGGGTATAGTGTAATGAATACGCTATAAAGCAATATACACTGTAGCTATTAAGTCAGTGAAATTGTGAACATGAAATTTTCCTCTGCTACGATTCAGTGATCAATCTAATGTGTCAATGTGACTTCAGTAAGATATGAACACGATTTTCACGTGAAGAAGATGAAATGACATTATTTTTGGAACACTCCTCCTAACTATCGAATTCATGTATGTAATAAATTAGTCTTAGTTTTGCTATACCGTGAATTTTCATAAATCGAGTATCAACTCTGATATCTCAACACCCCATATATCTGATAGTCCCATCGATGTCGAGATATCTTAGTTTACCTGTATGTAGACTTTCATCATAACTTTCTTATTTAACCTCGCATTGATTCTAACCAAATTTGGTAGATGTATTGGTATACTAAATCCATATAACTTGAAGTATGCAACTGCATATATGTACATACGAAAAATTTATCATTAACATTATCAACATGATTAAGGATAGGGCTGTGTCAATATATCGATTAATCAATCGATATATCGATATACTCAATATACGTATCGAATATTCAGGAATGTATCGTATCGAAAAATAACTTCCAATACGTATTGGGCAGGCAGTTTTTCTTATAATTCTGTGAAAAAGTTGGGAATATTTCAGTCACCAAAGGTTATTTTTAACTGTTTTGAATTAAAAATGATCAATAGTGAAATAAACATTAAGGAGATGACACATCTTAAATAACTACACATGTATTACAAAATACATAGACAACTATATTTTAACATGTTGGTTTTACAATCATTTAAAGTTTGAATTTGAAGTGTACTTTGTAAAGACAGTGAGACATGAACTTCCAATTTGGTAATAAAACACCCAGTTTTTATCAAATCTATGAATTAAATGATATACAAGACTTTTTTGATAGACTTGTTAAAGAATCCAATATATCGCATATCGCTTTATAAAATATCGTATCGTATCGTATCGAAATATTTTGCTCAATACACAGCCCTAATTAAGGACTATGTTAATATATTCTAATCTTGTAATTATGAAGAGGGATACAAATTCATCGTCAAGATGTGATAAAACACTGTACAGCTATCCAAGACTAAATTTCATTTCATCCAGAACATTAAAAATAACAAATAATATTAGTTCATAAATTTTACCATCAATATTTTTGCTGAATATGATGACAGAGATGTATGATTAGTTCTAGAGGATTTTCGAACTGAAGGAGATATGGTAATAATAATAAAATAATGATGATAACGTGAGATGAAGAATATATATTTTGATATTTATAATATTTCAATGCTTTTCATTATGTAGAAGAATTATCTTACACTTATAGATCTTTTTAAACCGCCAGATGTTGATTTCAATAACTTTAAAATTGAACGTTGCATGGGCGCCGCCATTGTTTTCACCTTGACCTTCAAAAGCTTTACGAGTTTGGGAAAGTCTAGAGAAGTTCGATGGTATTCTCGTAATTCCTCAAGAGATAACCTTTGCACTGTTTGGCGAAGTGTGTCAAAACGGACAACAGTGATTTTCTGTACTTTATGGGTTCCTAGTGACAGGTATAGAATATTTTGATAGAATTTGTCTTTTTCAAAGACGATTATTGAAAAGTATATGCATTCTGTGCCTTGCATTCACCTGCAAGAATTTAATACAATGTAAATTAAGAGTGCAGAATTTGGTACATTTATCTATTTATAATCAGTTATAATATTTTTTTTTGTCCCCACAATGTTAATAATGTGTAATATTTTAACAATGATTCGACAGAAATAAGTATTTAATTTATAGTTTGCAGAATTGTTACCCACCACCCTCCCCCAAACCAAAAACAAGAACAAAATCAAAAAACTAAAACAAACAATAGCTCAGATTTTTTTGAAAATAGTTGAGCACCTGTTACAAGGGCTTAAAGAAAATGTGGGGGATGCATGTTCTATTCTAGCAAAAAAAGCCAAACTGTTCAGATAATTTTTATATATCCTTCAGAACAGGTAAGTATGACTTGAATGCATCCTGCAGGCATTTCCAGATTAATTATTTAATAACGTATTCATTCTTTATTTTGACAGGAAATCAAATGAAGCAAGTGCTTGAAGGAAGATGGGATGATTATAAGGAAAATCCAATTGAATGAAACTTGTTAAACAGTGTTAAATTATCATGCTCTTCATTATCAATGACAGCATTTCCTCTCTTGGATCATAACTCAGAGCAGGATGGCTGTGAATACCCATGTCTTATCAGCCATGAAAAAAAGAGATGTGGAGAGGGCATCCATGTTACTTTTAACTCCAGGATACGATGTAAACACAGTGTCTAAATCAGGCACTCCACTAATCTACGCAGCAAAAATGGGTATATACTTTATTTTTATCATGTTCATCAGTACACTTCTACATCAGGCACTGTAGCGACATCCTTCGGAAAAATTACAAATCTTGATTGTTTTTTTATCTCTCAACCAATCACATTAAGCCGTTCTATGATAAACAACTTGTAACACGTGCATTTGAGGTGTCAACTGAATCCTTATCTAACTATTTATGAAAGCTTTAATTTGATTGGTGCTTCTCAATGAGAGAAGCAAGCCCACGAATATTGAATGAAATATGCCAGGGGTCAAAGGGCAAGGTGTTGACTCAGGACCCCTGGCTTGCGAGGATGCAATACACTTCTACCTCATGAATTGTTAACATTAAATATTAGATTATGATATCAATATAAAGTTTCATATTAAATTGTGAGTGTCCTAAGCAGTGCAATATGCTTTACTGTACAATATGTAGGAATTTAAGGCACTGTCATTTTATAAGATCTATATTCTTAAAAATTTGCAGCTTTTATAAAGTTTGTTAATTAACATAGAAATATTACCTCCTTGCAGTTGAGTAAGTAATCTGTTATACATGTGTGTATGAATGTTGCACATTGCTTTTGTTGTAGTATTATGTTAAACAGTTTGAATTCTGTTATGTTATATTTTTTGTAGGACTTATTCCAGTGATAGAGAAGCTAATTAATCTTGGAGCCAATGTCAACTGTCTAGATAAAGATAAGAGAACCGTTCTTCACCATGCATGTCAACGTGGTCCAAAGGAGATAATCCAAGTACTCATTAAAGCTGGATGTGACATGTATAAGGTATTAAACCAGTGCAATGATCTGCATTATTGATTTTTTTATATATAAAATGCATTTGCATGCTTGTGCAGATGGTATTCCAACTGTTACATAAAATTGCTTTGTGCATCTTCTGTGAGTGATTTCATACATTTACACATATGTTGCATTTCATATGGTACGTTACAAAAAATTAATATAGTCTATACATGTTATGAAGATTTGTCGTCTGTGATTTGAAACAGGATACCACATATGTCCAAACAACCTTTGCATGTACATGCATATATATTTTCTAGCAGTTTTTGTCCTTGCTTTTTTATGACCATTTTCTAAACAAAAATCAGCACTTCTTCCATTTGCAGTATTACATGTATACATCTAATTGTTACCCAGGCTAATTCTGATGGGGACCTGCCCATTCATGTGGCAGCCACCAGTGGTCATACAGAATCTATGGAGGAATTACTGAAAGCCGGAATGGACATCAATGCTTTAAATACCATTACTGAACACACATCTTTGGAACTGTCAGTGTGTTATGAACAAGTCCACATGGTGGAATTTCTGTTGGAAAGGAAAGCTAAACTAGAAATTCCTATGTAAGTCTGAATAAGAATTATAAATTTTCAAATTGGAGGATTCATTGTATGAAAAGATTATTGAAATGAATATTTTACTCTGACCACCATGAAATGCTGCTTATTATAAATAAAATGCATTATAGTTGTGTAGATCAATGTATAATTTAAAGAATCAATTTTAACTTCACTAAAAAGATATCAAAATTTGTTAAACAGGAGGAAGACTATGGCTGAATCGGCCCTGCATCAAGCATCACAAATGGGGAATGTGGCCCTGATTGAGACTTTGCTAAAATACGGAGCAGACATTAATAAGATGAACACCAGTGGTGAGACCCCATTTATAACGGCAGTCACAGACAATAAACTGACCTCCATGAAAACCCTGATTCAAGCCAACTGTGACATGAACAAATATAGATACACTTCTCCTCTTTCCCTGGCTTGTCTTGGAAACAAGCACAAAATTATTCGTTACTTATTGTCGGAGGGCTACAATGTTTCAGCAGATGAAAGTTTCAAAGAAATTTTAACAGTCAGATTAGAAGAAACTGCACCATTGTTGTTGGAACTTATTCATTATAAATGTGCTAATCCCTCAACATTGAAAGAGGCTTGCCGATTCAAGCTACGAAGGATTTTAGGTCGAAGACTAACTGAAGCTGTGCCAAATCTTTCTTTACCCAAGATTTTGATGGAGTGGGTAGTGTCTGATTTCATATACTGAATGAAAAGCAAAGATTTTTTAGTTGTTACAGTGAATATTTTAAAGTTAATATCAAGTTCAATTTTATTAAAATTACCTTAGATCTTTTATTAATTAATCCTGCTCATGTAGAATGCAACACATGGTTCTAAAATCATCCCAGTTGGGTCCATCTCAGATTGACCTTTCATTCTAAATTGTGTGATGATCAGGGGAAAAAAATACAGTCAAACCGCATTATCTTGATTTTATTGGGACTGAGATTAAACTTTGTGATATCCGAGGATTCGAGACAACAAGGTTAAAAAACAGAAAAAGTGGTTTGGACTGCCAAATTACTTCGACATATCTCTGGTATTCGAGATATTTGTATTCGACATACAGTAATGAAGTTCAACTGTATTAATAAGTCGAATATATATGGTAAAGATTGACAAATCCGGGTTGATTTTAAATCAATATGGTCTCCTTGCATTGACAAGACTTTACAGTTTACAGTGAACTTTTAAACATTGTTGTTTATTTCTTAATTAATCTAAACACTAAATCTGAGATGAAGTTGAACAGATTATTATTAATTCCTTTGTCTAGCAGTCTGATTAAAAAATCAAACCTTCCACTAGCTCCTTATTTTGATGGTTGCGACACAGAGCTAGTGGAAGGTTTGATCTTAATTAGACTGTTTGTCTAGCTTTCTACATGAGTGGATCAATGGATCTGATTTTTGTAAATTGCATCAAATTTGGATTACCGTATTTGAATTTTATTGAATAAATATTGTATAGATCAACTTCAAAGAAAAAAAAGCTTGCTAGTTCAGTTTTAAATCAAAAAAGTTTATACCACTTTTTAACACCATAGAGCTTTCAAATTATATTGTTTGTTGATGTTTTTTTATAACCTTTCTTGGAAATTGTTAGAAGAAATATGTCCATATTTGTTAATTTCATGTGTTTATATTGTATATTGTTTTCTTTTTTTTTTTTTTTTGCTTGTGTATGTGATTACTCAAAGAGAAAGTTATTTGCAAGAATCTCTCTGACTAAAAACTCTGTTGACAGAAAGAGAAATTTTGTTAATGTTTTCTTAGTCATATAAATAATTATATCCCTGTGAAATACAGATAATTAAATGTTTTTACCTATGTCAGGTTGATATGGAAAGTACAATATAGTAAGGCTGTCAGTAAATAGGCACATACTGTGGAATCATCATCGTTTGTGGGGGACCAATGTTTGTGGATTTCATGGGTCACCATTACCCACAAATTTACATCCCCTTGAACGTTTATTTTGTAAACATGTTGATTCATTGAATCTACTGTATATATGAGTAACCCACAAAATTATGTCCCCGTGAACAGGTTAAATTTTGCTTACCCATGAACACTGATCGACCCCCACAAAATAAAATGATTCCACAGTACATTTACACTTCTAGCACAACTTAAATATATTCGATCATTGTAATTAACAAGCTACAGCATTTTTAATTGTCATTTTTGTTGACATTTGATCTTTCAGAATATGTTAATAAATAATCAATTAACTGTTCTATGAAATTGTTACTAGAAAAATTCTATTCAATGACTATGGCTAGAATAAATATTTCTTAACAGATTTTATTCAATAATTTACAACATGTTATCTCTCTTCTAACTGAATGTCTTCTTGCATGGACCAATTTTTTTTCATCTGAAATTGCTGGAATTTTTCAGTGAACTATTGTGGAAATGTCACTTTATTAAATCTAGATTTGACAAATTACATGTTCTTCTCTGGTTCTAATGTTAAAAAAAAAAAAAAAAGAAAAAGAAATATTCTTGTACGATGTAAATTTGAGAGTTCTTAGAAATGAAAAACTTCAGGGAAAGAAACATGTGACGGTACATTGTAAATTCAAAGCTATAATTAAAGGTACATTGTAAATTCAAAGCTATAATTAAAATTCTTTTGCAGTTACTCTTAATGGACCAACATAAAAAAAATACACCTATTAACTAATGGAAACCCAAAATGAAATACTGTAGATGTACATTTTGTTCTTGTGGGACTAATTTATGTGATGTACATGGTCACAAGTTCTGCTGGGAAATTTGTCACAGCTAGCATACTTAAAGTGCATTTTAATCGTTAAATGGCAATTCAAGAAATCTGCGGAATCACGACCCTGTGGGGAAAAAAAAACCATGTTTACAGTATATATTTAAACTTAAATGAAAGTTATGCTGTTGATCAAAGCACCTTATAAGGAAAACTAAAAATTCTATAAATAGAACACAAGTCTATGAAATATGCACCTATTAACCAACAGGAAACTGCCCAAAATATATCATAGAGAGAAAAAATCTACAGATATCTGTATCAAGAGATGAAATGCAATTTCTTGGAATAAAAGCATCTAAAAAGCAATAGCTGGGGCCAAAAACTGACAAGGGATGCATATCTTCATGAACCCCCTTCTAACAAAGTTGCAAATGGAGACAAAATATCTGGTTTTGGATGTTTGTGCTTGGAACATTAAGAGTGTTGTGGAATGATATATTGCATAGTGTTATTTGTCCTTTTAGACTAATACTTGCTACAGAGGGGGAGGTGACTTCTGGGTACAAGCCTATTCATTTGAGGGCTCAAAAGGTCAAGGTCAAATGAGAAGATATGCACTGTCCTACTCTAATGTTGTGAACTTGATATGTATAATCATTTAATCTTTTAGTCTTCAATTAGAATTAACATAGAAGTGGTAGATGACCATATGGATATGCCTTTTAATTTTTTGCTTAAAAGTCAAAAGGTCAAAGTCAAAGTTACCATTAGTCTTTACTCTTTAGCAGTGTTGTAGACACCATATGTACAATATATTGGTACCATCTGACCTTTTAGTGTGGAACTTCCTTATTTTAGAAGTCATGGATGAGCATGCCTATTCACTTGGGGGCCAGGTGTAAGGTGAAGTTTTCAACTTGCTGCAGAGCTGACAGGACTTGGGGTCAAATGTCCAAGGTACATGAAAATGACTGATAAATGTTACTAAGATTACTAGTATATGTTTTGGACACAATTTTTTAAAAAGGCTATCATTTGACCTTTTGGCCTCATACTATGTACAGTACTGTAAGATATGCATACCAGTTGGATATGTGTTGGAAGGGGTCTATTGATTCTAGAAATGGTCAGAGATCAAGGACATTCCCAATTTTGTGAACATCATAATTTTATCATTGGTTTCTTTTTTCTTTATTGAAAATATGTCAAGTGGATGCTTAGATTCTCTGCTCTGTCATTTTAAGAAAATGACCAGACAGTACTATATATATATATATAAGTGCATAGAGCCTAAAATAACATACAAGTAAATTTGTGTCAATCAAAATGCAAGTAAGTTATTTGTGGATACAGGAAGTTTCATCTTGTTTAGATGGTTTCATAGTGCCTGTGGTGTATATTATAATCAACCCTGTCATGCCACGTGCTTAACAAGCATAAGGGCTATTTCCCTGTTTGTGGGAAGGGTACGTATTTTCATAAACTGAACATGCATTGGTGTGAGCATTATTGACAAACTGGTTAAATGTTTGTCCAAATGTGAACTCAATAGATACATAGCTGTTTAATTATACTAGTAATTCGTTTTATGGTAAGTATAGTTAAATGTTCTTAAAAAGGGGGATTTTGGAATTTTCAACGTAAGAAATGTTAAGTACAAATTATAAAATAAATTTGCCTCAAAGATTACTGAAAAAAATATAGAATCACAATACTTCGGTTGTTATAGATGTACCTTAATATGTAAACTACATATGATGCCCTTAATTTGATGGCTTACATTCAACAGGGCATCGTAAAGAGGGGGTGGAGTGCCATTTTAAATCCACATAAATAGAATCAGTAAGAATGTGGACCAAGAGTATTAATTTTACTTGGTATAAATTAAGGCGTGTAAATCAGATAAAAATGTTTTGAAATCTCCAGCACGCTTGATAATCCGGTGTTTTCTACGTTAAAAACAAATTACCCCCATCCCCCTACCCCTATTTAATTTTGAAGTCATTGGATCAGATTGCAGAGCTGTTGACCATGTACGTTTGATACTGTTTTAGGTTTTAAGACACTTACTATAAAGTCCATGTAGCAAGGATTAAACATATATGTCCCTGCAACTGCAATACTTGATATATACAATGTAATTATTTCAACTATCATGTTAAGTTGACTTGAAACATTGTTTCATAGAATTAAAAGGAAGTTCAAAATCCAAAGTTAATTTCATTGTCTAAAAGTCATGTACGTAGTAATTTTAAAACATGCTTAATGTGAAACAATCGCCCATATTACACTGTACTGCAAATATATTCAGTATGCACCCCCCCCCCTTCTCCAAGCAATGCATTATATCAAATTCTAACTTTTTATGGATTTTTGTTTTTAAACAAAAGGAAAAACTGATATATTTTTTTAAAGCAGGTCAAGGGCTAAGTTCAGGGTCATAAAGACTGTAAGACCAATACTTTTTGAAAACTAAAATCTAAATATCAAACCTGACATCAGACGGTTCAAACGATGTTGTATAAAGTTGTTCATATCCAAACAAAGACCAAGAATTAACACAACTGTCATTGAAATACCTTATGGAAGATTTTTCAAAATATGAGGAAAAAAGTATAGGACTATGGTGAAGCTCAAGGTTAATTATCGAAAGTGATTTTTTTTTAAAGATCGTTTAAATGAACATTGTACGTGCATAATATCACAGTGTAACTGCTCAAAGTTGAAAAAAAATGAACATCTATATTGTTATCATCATGAAATATTTTTAATTATATTAAACAAGTTTTTTTTAAGTAACAGGGTCAGTAACCCTGACATTTTATGAAAGTCCTTGTGCCAAGCAATACACTTGTATAATTTAACATCAGATTCACCAAAAAAGTATTGACAGAGGATGACAGTTAGACATGCACTGGGCAGTCATCTTTTTAAAACTGTAACAAAGGCACATGACATATATATTGATGGTGTAACCCCACCCACCACTCCCCACCCCCACCATTTTCTGAATTATTTTTGTACAAGAATTCAGTGATTGCCTCCAAGGTACATGTAGTACAAGTCATGTATTTTCATAGTATAGAGAAAAAAGAACTCTAAAATGTAACAAAAATGGAAAATGATTTCATAGATCAGAGGGGAAAGGGGGCGTTACAATACGTCAGGTGCCCGTACACTGTAAGTGTCACTCTGTCTTGCAAGCGACAAAACAAACAAAGAAAAAACGATCTTTACTTCATACGTGGACACAGGTTGAGCTGAATAAAACAGTCCATTAATTTCTATATCCTCATACTGTGTACCCTAACTTCTTGTCAGAAGAAGGCCTTTCTTTTACTAAAAATAAAACTAAACTTTCCAATACATAATTTTCTTTTCTATAAGGTCAAATCATTCATCAGATAGGACAGTTCATGATCATCTAATTTAATGGTACATGTAGCTTTGAATCAAGAGATGTAAAATATCTATAATCATGTACGTAGATAGTTAATTAACTTTTTTTTTTTAAATTATCTATTTCTTATTTTTCTTGAACAGGTGCGCTACATTATCGATTTGATAAAAATCTTTTGTCTCATAATATATTCATTGACCTTTTGAGGTGATCAATATTCAAGAGAAAACATATAGTCAATTTTAATGTACAGAATCCTTTTAGCAAACAATTTTTAATGTTTTGAAAATACTAGATTTGTAATGCCAGTGAATGAATAACAAATACAACAATTTATTAATTTAACATTTTATTAATATTTATGGAATAAACATATACGGGTTTTGTCGCGTGTTTCATTGATTTTTGAAAGTTTATGAAAGTGGTTCTGGTGCCACCTTATAGATGTTACAATGTAATAGGTTGTGCTGTCAAAAAAGGGAAGGAGAGAGAGAAAGAGAGATTAGAACTGAGAAAATAATAAAAACATTCCCAGGGGCGGATTTAGGGGGTGGGAAAACTTGCGCGTACCCCAAATTTGTCCATTTTAATATGGTTCAAAATGTGTATAACTCATTTAAAAAAAATTGAAAGGAATGCATTTTGAATTTTTGATCCATATTAACCTCTTATCAATATGTAGTATTACAATAAAAATAAGCGATATGCAATGTACATGTATACCTTTTACATCCTTCTTTACCCCCCCCCCTTTTCCCAAAATGGAAATCCTGGATCCGCCCATGTGAATTATTAACTTTTTAAAAAGATGTCGATGAATCAGCATGGCCTGCATTTACATATACACATAGGCTATGCCGATTCAGCGATATCTAATATACCATTGGAGGTTGCTAAAAAATAGGTAACAAGAATATAGAAAAGATAAAAAGGTTTCAGTCTCTGCATTTAAAATTCACTCTATCTATAAATCCCCCTCATATATGCATAGTATACGTACAAATGATATTTTATAAAAAGTGACGGGTCGTGATCGTGATATTTCACATGTCTACGATCAACTAGTTTTAGCAACCCCTAGCTTTATTTTCGCGAAGTATATACATGTATAATATTACAAAGTCTGTAGGACATGTGTGATATGTGTATATATATGTATAATTTGTTCCTGTTGCAGATGATAAATTGCGGACAAATACATGAAGAGAAAACAGTGTTAGAAAACGGCAAGTATTTGAAATAAAAATTCATTATACTAATAATTAAGTTTTCGTTGCAATTAAATCAATGCATTGAGAAATAAAAAAAAAAATAATATTCTGAAACTGTAGAATTTAAGACACTATAGCATATAAATTTCGATTAAATGATTCATTTAAATGCATGGTTTAAGCTATATATAAATGCCGCATTCAGAGTACATTAGGGCAATATACAGGCATGTAAATGAATATTACACATGATGGATTAAGATCGACAAAATTTGAAAAATAGTCATGCATGGAGCAACATATAATTCTGATTCATGTACTAAGTTTTTCTTCGTGTAATTCAAACAAAGACTTAAACAAAACATATTTAAAACTACAAATACTTTCAGGTATTTTAGATTATCCTCTGAGGAACTGATGAATAAAAATAATTTTGTGACAATGGATAAACACCACAGATCACGGAAGCCAATGGTAAGTAAATTATTCAAGCAGTTTTCTGTACACGTCTTTTCAGTGGCAAAAAAAAAAAAAAAAAAAAAAAATGAAAAAAAAAAAAAAAAAATAAGTTAGCGTTTCCGCCACCTCCATATGCTCTTATTCTTTCGGTGAACAGTAAATCATTCATCTCTCTCTCTCTCTCTCTCTCTCTCTCTCTCTCGTGAATATTTTCTGAACATGGACATAGCAAGGAGTATTTTTCTGTTACAGCATTAATGCTGATTTTCTTAAATGTGCAGACTAAACGTATGCTAGGCATTATATATAGCTACATATAGTCGTGCTGATAATTTAGGTCAAGGCAACCTAAAGTACATGTACAATTAGAATTGAAGCTAGAGTCTGCGGAAGAAGATAAAAAAAAAATTCAAATATTCATACGATTCTTTTGCACAAAAAAGCATTTGTTGTATATAGTTTCTCTTGATAATTATGATATGAAGTTAAGGATTTTTTTAAATTATTTGATATTTTAAAGACAGTATTGACATTTGATACAGGAACTTTTCTTGATAAATATGATAATATGAAATTTATTTAATATACTAAAAACAGCATTAGGTTAATATCGAGGATACAGATGTGATTATGCTGTCTGCTGTTATAAGCTGACTCCTTGCTGGCGATAGTGGTTGTTAGTGCTGGGCTGCTGGCTAATGCTGATGCCCATCCAAGTGGATATCATTATATAATTATAATTTTTTTCATAGATGAAATGTGAAGATAACATACAGTGTCATTCTCAAAAGTCTATTTAAACAATAAAAATTATGAGCAGAGTCAACACGTACAAACCTCTGAAAACAGAGGTAGGATCTCGTGCCGTGGAGGAGTAAGCATCCCCTATCAAACATTCACACCCACCATGTACTCGTCTTGATCGGGAAAATGAAAAAATCCGTAAACAATCAAATTTTTCATTTATGCTGATGCTATTGATTAAGAAGCAGAATTTAGTTCTAGTGTATACTGTAGTATATAAAGGCCCGTATAGGAAGTAATTCGGGAAAGGGGGGGGGGGGGAGGGGTCGTTGAGCATCATCCGTTAACATTTGAACATTTCCAACGTCTACTCTGGAACTGCTGAAACAATTTTAACCAATTTTGCTATAAAGCATTTATGTGCAAAGGGGAACAAAAATTGTAAATTTCATGGTCTCTGCCCCCGGGGCCTTTGGGTTTGGGCAAAAACCATAAATTAAAATTAATGAAATCTTAAAAAAAACTTCATCTTCACTCCTGGACATCAAGCAGTCAAACTGTAATTTATACTGTATATAATGTAATTGATATACGGTAAGTCATTAAATAAAAGATTTAAAAAATTTAAAAAAGATTTAAAAATCAATGATATATTACACAAAAAGTACTTTATATTGATAGTTTTTAATGGTCAGATAGACTTGTATTTAAAAAAAAGAGGAATAAAAAACGATTGAAATACCATATTGGACATTAAATATTATTCGTAGACCAAGAGCAGCCATTGTGAATGGAAATATAACTGATTTACTGGGTGTATACCGAGTTTAAACCATTTTTGTGTTGGGAGAGTGTAGTTATATCTGATTTAAATCAGCACTGGTGTTTCTAATTATCAGAGTAATTCCCTCCCTCCCCCTCTCTTATTTTGAACAATGTAATTTCACCTATCACTTTATTTTGCCTCATTATCATACTTCTATATATTAATCCTTTGCAGGGTTCAGTGTATTATTCTTCAACATCAAATGTGATCGTTAAGGCCTTGGACTTCTTGTTAATAAATATGTGTATTGACCTATGTAAAGCAGCTAAACATGTATGTGTACATCCCTGTATAGCCTATATATTTATCACTGTCATCGTTTTCCTCTTTTTTTTCTTCCTTATTTGACGTCGATATATATTTCCTGATCTGTAATACATAATTATTATTTGATTTTTAAAATATGCATCGATTCAAAACCTTTTGGTGCAATTTAATTAATTCTAATCATAAAAATCATTATATATCGCATTTTGATGTCATTTGATGATATCATATATAAACCGGAATACATAAGGTTGCTCTATTTGGTTCTGAATTTCATGACGAAAATTTCTATTTATAAATTTTGTCGTCATTTCCGAAGAGATTGCTTGAGCGACACACAGACAGATTAGTTTACTCTAGATCTTCGGTGTAGATTTTCGTTAGGAATTCATCCACGAGTGACAAATAAACAGTAACAGAAATATATTTTCTTGAAGATGATGGGAGATTTCCAAACCCGGAACCTTCAACCCAAGAAGAACCCCATCAGTGACGATTACAGAATCACGGGGAGTGTATTGGGTTTGGGTATCAATGGAAAAGTGGTGGAATGTTTTAACAAAATAAATAATAGGAAATGTGCTCTTAAGGTAAACAGATAGATAAGAATGTTGTGTATTATTTCATCTCCTATTCTTCAGCTGACAAAGGGGGGTGTTAAACGTGGACGTGAATTTAAAATCAAATCTAAAACCCGTCCCAAATTTAGTCATATTGCCCTTCCTCATCCATTTACGTCAAGTAAGTTAACTAACAATATAATGTAACAGTAACTTCAGTTGATATGATTAAATTATTAGTTGACTTAAGTTAATATTATTACATTATTGATTTTAAAGATAAGTAAAAGTCATTATCATTTTTATTAACTGAAAAAAATATATATCATAATATATAAATAACACATTGACAGATATACTTGGAGACACATAAAAATGTAGTAGGAAAAAAAAATCCAACCATTACTACTGAACTACATTCGTGCTTACTTAAATTCTTGAAATTGTCATGCTGGTATAGTTGATATTCAGTGTTTATTTATTGTGAACTTTCTGTCAGAATCATGTTATTTTATGTGATGTCAACACAGAATGTAAACACAGGACATGAGTTCTAAAAATAGTTTCCAGGAAAAGTAGCTGCGCAACATTCCTGATGGCTTTCGTTATATTACACAGAATGTCGGTCAGTCGTACACTTTGATCATGAAATGAAATCTAAAGAAGATTGCACTTCCTAAATATAGTGTCAGGCATTTTCAAAATCAAAATTATGATTCTTACAGAATGTAACATGATTTCACAAACTCTTGACATGTGAATGCTGCTATAAACATATATTAAATACCCATAGTACAATCTATCCCAAAAGCACCGGTCTGTCGGATAAATCTGATGAAAATCTATTTGGTCCGATGATGAAGTTAAAATACTCGGTCCAAATGTCCAAGTTCTCTGAATTAAGATTTGTGGGTTTTTTTTCTTTTTATTTAAATTAGTTGTCCATAAAATACTGTAACAGGCGACTATTGTAAACTTGGAAGTTCAAGGGACCACTGATCTTGAGTTCAGAAATGGGCATTTTCTCCCGATGGCTATAAAGATACATAAATCAAACAGTTTTTCTTTCATTCGAATATTTTATAGAAATGATTGCACCAAATCTACAGTACTATTAAACAATATTATTTGTTTATTTAAGTGTCCATTTCTGATTTATTTCATTTATAGTAAATTGTATAAAAATTTTAATATGGGTTGTACAAAAATGAAAGTAGAAATGGCAGCGTATATGTAGATAACTGATAAACAAAACACTGTTTACAAAGAGTCTCAGGTAATATAACTGAATAAATGATATATTTTACATTGCTAATTTATTTTGTTTCTTTTTTGTATATTATTGTTTGCCTTGTTTACGAAAAAAAAAACAGCAATAGGTAACCAATCCATAACTCAAATGACGCAATTGACTCGATCAATCTAAATTTTTGAGTCGTGGAAAACAACTAATAAAAATAAATGCCCTTGTTGATGAAAAGTTTTGCTCCGGTAAAAATTGATTTGGTCCTGTGAAATGCATCAGACTGTCGGTCCGAATGTCTGGTGTTAAAATATTTTTTTTTTCGCGAACACTGCATAATAAGCTTTGATATTGCACATAATAAGAATATTCATCCCAAATTTAAGCCAAATATTGATGGCTTACACTTGTTACATGAATTAGTTTTGCATTGACCATAATTTGACTGAAAGATTGATAAGTATGATTCCAAAATTTAGTTATACATGTAGCAGCATGTGTAAAGTTACATGTGCAGTCTCTTCAAGGACTACTGGCTACAATCAACAATCATGATGCTTAAAGCTTTTAAATTAATTAATGAATCAATAAAATCACTCTGAAAAATTAGAATTATGAAATCAAGGCACATAATTTTGAGGTTCACAGGGATCAAATATAATTGTAGGTTTTACGGGATATACCAAAAGCACGGCGAGAAGTAGACCTTCATTGGAGGGCTTCAGGATGTCGTCACATTGTGGCCATACTAGACGTGTATGAGAATGTTTACAGTGGACAGAAATGTCTCTTGGTTGTAATGGAATGGTTGGTATATTGTAGTTTTAATTTTAATGTTGGTCTTGGTGTCTATTTATATTTAAACTATGTGTATGACATATATAAAGAAAGATGAGACTTTTGATATGAGAATTGTACAACTTTTTAAAAATCTATGTAAATTTTTGTGTATATTTTTAAAGAGCTAGGGTAAAGACATTATTCAATCTGTCTGTAATGTACGTTATAAAATGCTGAAAAATTATCATGAGTTTACTTTAACCAGATATAATTCTGAACGTTCAAATTAATTTAGGTAGTGATAACATTTGACCTTTGTAGAAGATTGTGTACATTTAAATAGCAATTATGCATATTATTATTTATTTTTTCATCATTATGATAGTGAGCATAATTTATTTATTTTTTTTTTTTTTTGTACCTGTTCCCAAATGATGTATAGGTGCAAATTTTTGCTAAATATTGGAAATTTTCTAATATCGATGAAATCTACACCAATGTTTTTTAATTGAACAGTATGGAAGGAGGTGAATTGTTCAACAGAATACAAGAACGAGCAGACTCAGCCTTCACAGAGAGAGGTGAGAAAATACAGTTGAACTTTGGTATCTCGAACGCTGATATCTCGAATACCATGGATATGTCAAACTGATTTGGAAGTCCCCACCACTTATTCTTTAAGTATTTTACCCTGAATATCTCAAATCCTTGGATATCTCAAAGTTTTTTCTCAGTCCCATTGAGTTCGAGATAATGAGGTTTGACTGTACTCCATCTGGCATCTCTACTTAATGTATCAATATTAAATGATTTTTACATATAAAATTATTGTTAATATACATTATAGAGATGTATTGGCTTTTCAGAATAATTTAGTAGTTTTTTTCTCTCAATCTTTATGAAAAAAATTAAAATATTAGCAAAAATTATTAATGTGATATAGAGGCAAATTTGCTTTATTTAGTACAGTACATTATGTTGTTAACAATTATTGATTAAGTGCTGTTGAAATGTGATTGCTGTTGCTAAACTACTGTTTGGCAGATCTTAAAGTTATACATAAGCTATATATGTAACTAAAGGTTCCCAAAAGAGAACTGAAATACAAGTCTTATTAATGAGATAGCAGGTAATCTCAATGAGAGAAGATTGTAATTTCAAAAAAAAAAAAAGGTTGGGCTAAATGCAGGGAAACGTGTGAATAAAGTCATTTTCTGTAAGGTTGCAATATTTGCACCTTCAAAACAACCTGTTGATACAGATGATAATTATTTACATTTTATTTTCCATGAGTATAAATGAAACAAGACAATAACATTTTAACATTTTAAGGAAATACTGCATTTATCATATAAAAATTACATGTTTTCAGTACATGTAGATGTTTGTGTCATTGTACAAGATGGAATATCCAGAAGTCATTATATATACATGAAGAGATGTAGTTCACTACAAAACACAACTAAGTTCAGTTGTGCTTTTGTCGCAGAAAATGATCAAAGAGGAAATGTCTACCTCAGAAATAAAACTGATAACCTTTAATGAAGGGTTTTCCCAATGAACAGAATACTCAGCCATTAATTAAATTGATAACCTTTAATAAAGGTTTTCCCCAATAAATAAGCATTAAATTTATATTAAAGTATAAGGAAAGAGTAAATCCTTCATTAACTCAGGTTCATTTCTCTGAGTATGTCTACCAAAACTTCAAATAAAAAGAGAAGATGAGGAAGGTTTATCATTTATTATTGTAAATGGCATGGAATAAAATAATACATGTATAAAGTAAATACTTAAGTTTGTGAAAAAGAATTTAGAAATAAAATATACCTGTTAAATGATTGCAAGAGGGAGAGAGGAAAAGTTTGGTCCTGAGACCAACCAAAAAAAGGCCCCAAGTTAAAGAAAACATCCATTTATATAATGTTTGAAACAAAAAATATAGGAGAGTCTTGTGTGATGATAGAGATAATTACTGCACTATTATGTAACTTAATTATCACAAGATATACATGTAAAACCTTCATTTCGGAAGAAGAATTTATAAAGTGCAGTCACGTTTAAAAATTAACACATTTATATTAATTATCATGTATATAAAGTGCTGTTCAGTTTGAAATAATCATACTGATTTTATATTAACTAATATGCATATACTCATAAAGAGCAATTCAGTTTTAAAAAATATCACATTTATATGAAGTATCATGAATGTAAAGTGCAGTTAAGTAAATAAGTCATTACATTTTTTTTTAGATTGTCATGCATTTGCTAAAGTATGTATTTCTTCATGAAATAGAATTTAAAATATTGACAGGTGTGAAAAGAATTAAAAGTTCTTTAAGTACATTTCATCATTAGTTGTAAAGACCTTGAAAATCTAGCCTAATATCAAGGTCATGAAATAATACATAATTAATATGGATTTTTTTTCCTGAGCAAAAACATAAAGCAATTACAGATCAGATTTGTTTGAGCACTTGTACAATCATTCAAACTTATTGGATCATTATGCACCTACATGTTTGTGACTAGTTCTAAAGTGCACAAAGACAATATGCTTTGAAAAAAAATTAAATGATCATAAGAAACATAAGACAGTTCATCCATATGTTCAATTCTGTTTTGAAATCTTTTTTTTAACAGAGGCAGCAGCAATCATCACAGACATTGCCAAAGCCATTCACTTCCTTCACTCTGTCAACATTGCCCACAGGGACCTAAAGGTAATATCAACATTAGGAAAAACTCTTGTAAAGTCACGCCTCTACTAAACTCTTATGTTCCATTCCGAATTGTCCGGAATAATGAAGTATCTGGATTACCCGAGTGTATATTATTAATTATTACAAGATTTAAGTTTTGTTTATCAGTGGAGAAAATTGTCACTCTGTCCCTTGGAAAATTAATTTATAAAGGGCATTAATTTATAAAGGGCATGGACACAGATTTAAAGTTTATTTGTAGAATTTCATGACTTACACATTGCAAGAGCATTTCAGACTGATATATTAATCATTATAGAACCAGTTTGGAAACTTTTTTTTTTAATCAGAAAATCATCAAAACTTTGATTTTCAGCCTGTTTGATTGTCTTAAATCCTTGCAGTTTCATAAACTTCCTCCTTATTCCAAAAAAAGTAGAAAATCGAAGGATAATAATTAATGAAAGATATTAAAAAATTATAATTAAGAAAAGTCAAAAAAGAAAAGCAAGAAGGCAAATCCAACCAAACAGTGATGTAAGTTTGTGGTCAATGATGTGAGTAATGTCAGCAAATTGAACACACTCAGTAAAATGTAGAAAATAACAACAAAATAAAAACACAGGTGAAAGGTTATGAAGAATGTCATTGTCATTGAGTATTAAGAATTTTAATGTAAGTTCAAACCACTAAACTAAAGCTGTTTTTGAAATAAAGTAGAATTCAAAATTATAAACAGAACAGCAATGCAAGCGTGTCCATGCCCCTTTAAGGTTATTGACCCTCTGACAAGATAGACAACTCTCACTGGGATGAATTACTATCCTTCCCTTGTAAAAATATTTAGTTAAAAGAGAATTTCTGTCAAATTTTCACCACCGTTTATGCTGAAATAATTTGCATTTCAATAATATTCTAGATTTCTTTCAAAAGTCATAAGATTTTATTCATCATTGAAGGAAAATTTTACATGAGTGATCAGAGGGTTGATAAACCTTAAGGAAGGAAAGTGCATTAAATTTTGTTGAATTTGTTGCTTATGCAGTACATGTATAGTCTTGAGGGTTTTTTTTTAGTGTAATAGGTAATCAAATGTTCACATTTGTTTTCCAAATTTCTTCCTTCACTGTTCTTACTTCCCAGTTGTAAGAAATTCAAATTTTGTTGGTTTTTCCAGAATAAAAACTCAAGAAAAAACCCCGAATTTATATAATTTTAAATGATCAAGTGATTAGTAATTATTATTTTCATCTTACAGCCAGAAAATCTTCTGTATACAAAGAAGGGAGCAGGAGGTGTGCTGAAACTGACTGACTTTGGGTTTGCCAAAGAGATTCATTCAATAAAAAGTCTACAGACCCCCTGTTACACACCATATTATGTGGGTAGGTTGTCACCTTACATTCAAACTTAACAAGGATAATTTATCTGGTCAAAGACATGAAACTTATTGTGCATCTGAATTTCCTTGAAAGAGATTTTAGTATTCTGCTTTCAAAATGGCACTTTCAAAAGAGCTTACTTTAAAGTTTTCTGTCTGCATAAAGCCATGTGTCATTGTAAATCAGTAGACTCAGCAGTATATAAATGTTTAAAGTAATTTGTTGTTATATTCCATTATTATTTCATACATTTTTTCCAAGCTATGATAAAATTATTATGTATATATATACAGATGATAATTTGGTTAGGACCTCACAGGTATCCTAGAGGAAAGACTCTGTGTGTATGTCCAATTATCTGTTATATTTTGCTTAATGTTTAGGTTTTTCATATTTTTCATTATACTCTGATGTTTAAATTTGTTCTGTTGTTTCGAAAGATGTTAAGACACATTTAAAACCAACTTTGATTTATTTATTTTTTTTTATCCAGATGGGGGCTTGGGTGGGGGCACTATAAACAGGGAAATTTTTGCCCGTTTTACTTTTTCTACTTTTGCCGGTATCGGGTCCGTTCGCCCTATCTACCTGTTCGCATGAGTCCGTTCGCGCAAGGTCCGTTCGCCATAATTCTTATTCGCACTATACCCTGTTTGCCATATATCTCGATCGCCCTATCCTATATAATTTATGTCAACATTATCGTTGAATTTTAAGACTTTTTCTTTTTTTACTTAAAAGATCTAATAAGCATATTTCACTTCCCTTAGTATTGACATTTTTTTCCCGATTTTAATGTTTATCAAAGACTTAATCGTAAACGTTTAATATTGCTGTTAATTTAGTACTTACCGTAAATTAGGGAACACTTTCTTCCTTTGTTTTTTTTTTTAAGGTTCGTATAACATGTATGTCTAGAAAACAATTAATGAAATTGAGATTGACGTTAATTATGTATATATAGGTTATTTTAATTGGAGATAAGCAACCTCTGAATAAAAGGTTTTTTTTTTCTTTTTGACGAATCTTTTATTCTCAATTTAATGATGTTAGTTGTATAACATTGCTTATAAATCGACAAGTATCACATCGATTATTTAACAGATTTTTTTCTTTATCATGTTTATCTACACTGTATATTGAATGTTCAAGTAAAATAAATTACACTTTAAAAAAAATTCATAAAATCAAAGAAATTGCGAAAATTTAACCGACTAAACATATTATGGGCGAACGGACTTTGGGCAAACGAGTTTTAGAGCGAACGGACTCTGGGTGAACGAGAGTTAGGGCGAACGGCGTCAAGGGCGAACACGTTTTAGGGCGAACGAACATACAACCACTTTTGCCCTCATTACAGTTGGACAAATTTAGAACCAGGTGAATAAAAAGATAGTTACATTAAACTGTGTCTGAGTGAATTTAAAAATAGTATAAAATTGTGAAGAAGTGTGCAAGGGCAAAAATAACTAATAAAATATTCTCTGGAAGAATAAATTAGCAAAGCCAGATCTGTTCAGAAAATTTTTGACTGACTGTGGATGATAAATTCTAAAGAGTCCATTAATGTTCATTATCTTGCCAGCTGTTAAAGAGTCAGAACTTTATCTCCACATTAAGATTCATTAAAACATCTGCCTGCAAGTAACATCTGTTTGAAAGTTTAAGGTTGTCTGTGACTCCCTGTAAAATGCCTTCTTTTGCTAAGTGCTCACTTTTTATATAATGTGTGGGTGAAATAAAGTACACATTTAATTAATAGAATATATTAAAGAAAACTATCATTAACAGTGATTAAACATGTTAAAACCGTGAAAGTTCACCCTAGCTATGTAAATATCAGGGTTGTTGTACTCTTTTGTATAAAAAGACCGATGCTAATTATTGATATGTGTAGTTAGTGAGTTGTGCCACAGAGGCATCATATTATCTTTTAACATATATCTCTTCCAAGGAATTGCATGCACATAATTGATAAGTAGAAAGAAAGGCAATAATGATAATGAAAGTAGTGGAAAAGAAACCTGAGAATAACAAGATTTTTAATCACAATCCTATCCCCTAACTACCCTTTGATTATGTTGATGACTAGTTAGTTATCTAGATACATAATAATAATGATCCCCTAGCCACTCTTTAAATTGTATTCTACCTAACCTTGACTTGTCAGTTCTCTATAATAGATAATAGTACATGGTAATAATGATTTTTCTTGTTTATTTTGTAGCACCTGAGGTTTTGGGTCCAGAAAAATACGACAAATCCTGTGATATGTGGTCTCTAGGTGTTATTATGTATATTTTGTAAGTATATTCTTTACCCAAAAAAAGAGTTAATATTGTAAATACATGTACTAGATTTTTTCTAAATCTTTGGTTATTTCTTGAATTCATCACATAAAATTCACTAGAGTTTGTGTTGGTTTGGTAATACTGACTTAGAACATGTTGAAATTCAATAAGGAACCTCATGCCAAAGGCTTCATCTAGTATTTTCAACTTTTTATACCCCCGCTCCGAAGGAGAGGGGGGTATACTGTTTTACCCTTGTGTGTCTGTCTGTCTGTCTGTCTGTCTGTCCGTAACAAATTTTGGTCACAGTTTTCTCAGGAACTACTCATTGCAGATGTTTGAAATTTTAGCACAATCTTTGTTTAGGCATGCCATATGGTGGGATTCATTTTTGTACGAATCCGATGTCAACTTCCTGTTTATCCGTGCGTCTGTCCGTTCCATACATAAAAAAATTTGGTCGTGGTTTTCTCAGCAACTACTCATTGCAAATGCTTGAAATTTTAGCACAATCTTTCTTTAGGCATGCCATATGGTGGGATTCATTTTTGTACGAATCCGATGTCAACTTCTGTTTATTCGTGCGTCTGTCCGTACCACACATAACAAACTTTGGTCGTGGTTTTCTCAGCAACTACTCATCGCAGATGCTTGAAATTTTAGCACAATCTTTGTTTAGGCATGCCATATGGTGGGATTCATTTTTGTACTAATCCGATGTCAACTTCCTGTTTATCCGTGCGTCTGTCCATACCACACATAACAAACTTTGGTCGTGGTTTTCTCAGCAACTACTCATCGCAGATGCTTGAAATTTTAGCACAATCTTTGTTTAGGCATGCCATATGGTGGGATTCATTTTTGTACGAATCCGATGTCAACTTCCTGTTTATCCGGGCGTCTGTCCGTACCACACATAACAAACTTTGGTCGCAATTTTCTCAGCAACTACTCATCACAGGTGCTTGAAATTTTAACACACTCTTTGTTTAGGCATGCCATATGGTGGGATTCATTTTTGTACAAATCCGATGTTAACTTCCTGTTTATCCGTGCGTCGGTCTGTATTATACATAACAAATTTTGGTCGTAGTTTTCTCAGCAACTACTCATTGCAGATGCTTGAAATTTTAACACACTCTTTGTTTAGGCATGCCATATGGTGGGATTCATTTTTGTACAAATCCGATGTTAACTTCCTATTTATCCGTGCGTCTGTCTGTATTATACATAACAAATTTTGGTCGTAGTTTTCTCAGCAACTACTCATTGCAGATGCTTGAAATTTTAGCACAATCTTTGTTAAGCCTTGCCATATAATGGGATTCATTTTTGGAACAAATCTGATGTCAACTTCCTGTTTATCCATGCGTCTGTCCGTACCATACGTAGCAAATTTTAGTTGTAGTTTTCTCAGCAACTACTCATCGCAGATGCTTGAAATTTTAGCACAATCTTTTTTTAGGCATGCCATATGTTGGGATTCAGTTTTTACAAATCCGATTTCAATTTCCTGATTATCACTGTGTTTGTCCATAACCGAACTTGTGTATTCACATCAGAGCGGGGGTATTATTAGTGAGCATTGGCTCACAGACTTCTTGTTTGTGCTTGATTCAGCAATCTGTGAAAAATGCATAAGTATGGTGAAAAAAAATCATATCTGTATTAATTAATGCTACAAGTATATAATTTTCCATTCAAATTTGGATCCTTCAATAGTACAATGTCATGTAATTATGCTTGATTTTTTTTTTACATTCTGAAAATTGCCTTTTTTGATCTTTTGTTTTATGCTCTTTTCCTTATAGATTGTGTGGTTATCCACCATTCTACAGTAATCATGGGGCAGCTATTTCACCTGGAATGAAGAAAAGAATAAGGAATGGACAGTACGAATTTCCGAATCCCGAGTGGAGCAAAGTATCAAAAGACGGTATGATGATAATGATTAAAGCGGCAATGATTTAATAATCAATGAAATGAAATTTTATATGTGCATAAGAAATGTGGTAGACTTGAAATTGTTCACCCTTGTATATTTCCCTCTGCCAATATTTTTAGATTAAGTTGATTAGCCAGGGTAGTTATGAAGAATTTTAGGAAAATTATGATTAAAAGAAGAATTAAGAATTTAAGCAAATATTTCATAAAAAATTACTACAGTAATGCTTGTTGCTGGACATTTGATGAATTGATTTCAATGAAGCATTGCTTTCATTATAAATAAAGTTTTTATAGTTTCAGTCTTTTAATCTTTATGCTATTCTAATGCATGTACTTTTATAATATTTACAGCAAAAGATTTAATACGAGGTCTACTTAAGACAGTACCAGAGGAAAGGTTGTCCATAGAAGATGTGATGAGAAACAAATGGGTTGCTGTAAGTACTTATTGTAAATAAGAATCACATAATCTATGAAATTAGTAAATCACAGCAATATACTCTGTTTTACTGTAAATGTAGCCCATGGACTGGAACAAACATGAGTTTACCCTTTCAGAATTTCATTTACATGTATTACATTGATATGAAATCATACTGGTATTAGTGTACAAGAATTGATGAGCTAACAGTTACACTTAAGACATGCATATAAAAACAGTAAAATAAGTACTTTAACAGTACATTGCAGGACCCATAGTAATAGTGGGTAATTATTACTATGAATTATTTGCAACTCTTTCAGGAATAAAAGTATGTTAGGTTCAATAACATGAATTGCAAAATCTTTGAAAATTTTATTAAATGACAATAGTTTCTACTATTAAGACTTTTAAAATATTTTGAATGACTATAAAAAAATTGTATTAACTGCCTAAACTTATATATTTATTTAAAACTTTCCTTTTAAAGGACAACACAGAAGTTCCTGCTACTCCTTTGTTTTCGGCTAAAATTCTACAGGAAGACAAGGATATGTGGCTAGACGTCCAGGTAAATATTTCCTGCGTTATACTTGAAGTTTTCCTATATATCAGACTTTCTTAGGAATTGTAAAGTTTCTGTCCCACAAATTTTTCTTTACATATTTGAATAGTTGAAAGAAAGTGAATGAAAAAGAAAGAGGAAATTGTGTGTGTGTATGTGTGTGTGTGTGTGTGTGTGGGGGGGGGGGGGGGGTTATAATGATGCATTCTGATTGATTTGGGGGTTGTAAAATAGGTTTCAGTAAAGTGGCTAGAAATTTTAAAAGATTAGCAATTTTAAAATGAGGCTTGAACTTTGACATATTTTGAAGAACACATATTTTTCGTATGGTATTTTAGGAGGAGATGACAAATGCACTAGCAACAATGCGAGTGGACTATGAACAGTGTCAGATCAAGAATCTAGAGGACTCAGATAATCCAATACTGAAAAAACGCAGGCAGCAAAGACAAGAAGGGGACCAACCCATGTAGTTCAAACCATAGATTAGCAGCAAAGAAATACAACTCATCTGATTGGTTAATCACCTCTGATCATGTGACTATAAATTGACCCAGGAGACATTCCATTTATGTTAACTCACATGTTTTTGAATGCATTTCAGATTTTGTTCAGGAGGATAATACCTGTTTATTTAGTTTTCTTGCTTTGATCTTCAAGTTGAATTCAATCCCACCATTACTATCCCAAGTGCACATTTTCAACAATGAATTTAAGGGTCATTTTCATGTGCAGTGTCTTTAATATTCCTTTTTTCAGAGGATAAAAAAAACACACTCACATGAAAGATAAGATGATTTTCAGGCAAGCTGGATTAATTGCTTGCTGATGTTCAGAGTAAACCGGTATCTATTCTACTGCTCAATTTCTATATTAAAACAATCAATGAAAATTTAATTTGTGTTTATCTTGCTGAGAAGAACATGAATTCAGTAATTAAAGGTAGACTGATTTTCATGCATTTTTTTATTCTAGTTTTCTATAAGAAAAAGTAAATGTATACCATATTGTGATACAATATGTTTATAGGTAGTTGCAAGCAACTCTATGTTGATTATTAATATACAATTTCTTCAAACTTTCCCTATTTATAGAGGATCCTCCCCCCCCCCCCCCCCCCCCCCCTCCCTCCCAACTTATGATTGTACATGTAAAACATGCGATGCATGTATTAAGCAGTAAGCTGGAACAACTGGTGGACAATTAAGATTTATTGGTCATATCAGATTTTGCCCATTTGTGGTCAAGTAAATTCCACAAGCGTATGTATCTGTGTACATCATAGAAGAGACCTTGGTTTACTTTTGTTATAAATTTTTGCTGATTTTTTAATGTCGCTTTTTGTTGTCCAATATTTGTTTATATGAATATTGTGAAGATTCTAAGTATATACATGTATGTGTATGTTCAATTTTACCATTGTGTTGTGTTTTTTATTTCATATGATTTTCAATCATTAAAGTCTCATTTTGTAAAATTATAGTGTATACCCTTAGTGGGAATGCTTCTAAGAGGATATGAGAAAATGTAGATATTATGTATGAATGATTTCATTAGTGCTTGTTTTTTTTTCTTTTCTCCATCTTCTTTCAAAAGTGCCTTCTCTTGAAATGTTTTTTTTTCCATGCTAGTTTCTTTACTGTTAATGAAATAAATAAAAAAAGTCATTCATATTATTTCATTTTATTTCAAAAAGTAGATGTACATTAAGTTTGTACTCTGTATTTATATATGTACAAAACTTAAAATAATAATTATATGTTATAATAATTAAACATGAACAAAAAAAAATCAGTCATTGAATCACATAGAAATGTCCCTCTCCTGGAGAAAGATAAAATACGATAGATTGCTGTGTTTCCTTTATACAGTTATAGAATTTTCATCTTGGAAAGATTTTGTTTTAAATTCTGTCCTCATATTACTGACTTTCCTTGAATTTCATTTGTTTCTTTCCCATATTTTGCTAGAAAGTTGTTATTCGTTAGATTAAATTTTTGTGAGGAGGGAGTTTTTAACCCCTTTCTTATTTTATTGCATCAATGATATTGCTGGATACAACTCTAAAATGGCAGTTCTTTTTGAAAAGGATCAAAACCAGCGTGTTATTCTAACAAATTTTCTCCTTTAAAACACATTATTAAACAATGAACATTTTTTCTTGAAAGTAACACATCCTTTTTTTAAAAAGATATTATTCAGATTTTACACTGAAAAAAAGGATCTGTGTAAATGTGTGCTCTCAGTTCAAAATGAAAATTTAATATAGATACTCTGAATTGCCATTTTAAGATAAGATTTTTGAATTTCTTCAGTAAAGCAAAATAAAACTTTGCTGCCCCCTTCATAGCATCTATGTGGGGTTGTAGAAATTGTGTACAAAAAGATGAAAATATGAATTCAGTCTTTCAGAATTTTAATCTTCACTTTTCTTAAAGGTATTTTGTGCAGTGAAGTATCTTCATGTACATATATCTCTTACCTGGTTAATCCAACTATGACAATAGTTTGTGTAACAGAGGGAGCAGGGATTAGTATATATACACATGTCTATTGTTCAAAATTTGAATTTGTCCTGCATGTAATTATGTTAACATTGATATATTAAGTTCTTTGAAAGTTTAGTTATTTCTTGGTTCACATGTGTTTCAGTTTAAACCTATACCTAAATCTATGCAGAGAAAGTCTATTAAGCATCAGGTATCTTATAATCTTGTTTTAATTTACAGTATTCTGAACATGAGAATTTGTTTTTCCAGAGTTTTACTGATATACATGTAAAATTTTTCCTTTATTAACATAAAGACAGGTAACAATGTTATAAGATGCATTTTGAATTACTAAATGGGAATGCAAATGCAATCAGTGTGTTTATTGAGTTTCTTCTATTGAAGCAAGTGTACAAAATGTCTATTATTTTTTAGGTATTTTTGATGTGTTGAAAATGGCATCATTTCCACTATTTAAAAAAAATTATAGTGTATACACCAGTAATTAATCAGAGGTTTACCACTCAAATAGAACAAATCATATGAAAATCATTAATTTCATCATTTATGGTCCATAGTCCATCTTATTGTAAATATGTCAGATTTATATGTGTACTGGTATCAACTCTTTCAAAACATTTAACATTTCTTGTTGTGTTAATTTTCATGTTCTGTTCAGTGTCATATTTCACACATCGTAACAACACACAGAAATTGACATATGTACACTGGGTGATATGTACATCTTCTTGTTTTGTTTATTGCATTTGAAGTTTTTTTTTTTTTAATTTTAAAATTGATACTTCATAGAAACTTTGTTATTGTTCTTGAACAGATGGAATGAATTGCTACCTGTAGGGATTTGACAAGTAAACAGTTAGGCTCTAAATACATTGAGAATTCAACAACTGAGAATAACGATGATAACTGTGAATTGTAATAGTCCATTTCTGAAAACAGTAAAAAAATAAAATTGATGACTTCTACTGTTTGAATTTCTTTTTTCCCCTTCAAGAGAGGAAAGAAACAACGGTATATGCATACAGAACACATATATATGCGTACAGAACACAGTCATGCCATTGTTTTAAATTATAGAATGTGTGAACTTATACTTTCAATTGCACAAGAAAAGAACAGATAATGGAAATATAACATATTTTATTTGAAAAAGACATAGATTTTTCAGAATTTTTTTAAAAATCAAGATGTGTCTTGTACAGCAAACAGACTGATACTAGTAATGAATGGATTTTTATTTCCTGTAGTTTTGAAATGTACTATGAACTTACCCGATATAAAGGAGAAACTTTAGACGTACTGTGTGACAGCATATCCTAAAAGTGGTGTAAATAAAATGTGGATTCTCCAAAACTCTGAAGAGCTTTTAGAAAATTTAAAAAATCGCAAAATTTTTCAAAAGTCAATAACATTAAACGTACGACTTCCTACACTTTATACAACCATTCCTCAAGATAAATCAAGAACTAAGCTTTTTGATATCGTAGACAACTGCTTCTTCAATAAAAATAGAACACAGAATTTTTCATAGCTTGTGATTGGTTATCAACAAAATTACCTCGTTAAAAGTCACTCTAATTCTATACACAAGTAGTCTGAAGTTGATATTAAAAGCATGCTGGAGTTCCTAATTGACAACATTTATTTTATCTTTGGAGACCAGGTCATCCAACAAACTGTTGGAATTTCGTAGGGTATTAATTGTGCTCCTTTGTTAGCCGACCTGTTTATTTATTCCTACGAAGCAGAATTTATTCGGAAACTTCTACATAGGAAGAAGAAAACACTTGCTGTGGCCTTCAACTCGACTTCAGATGTATCGACGATATGTTATCATGCAATTAACAATATAGTTACTTCCATTCATATGTCGACTCGATATATCCCAGTGAACTCGAAATAAGTCTGCCACATATGTTTCATATTTGGATGTTTTACTGACTATAGACAATGAGGGCCAACTAACAACTAAATTGTATGACTTCAGCTTTTCCATCGTCAACTTTTCTTATTTATATAGTAATTAATATTCAGCTATCACCTGCATATGGTGTTTACATCCCCCGACTTATTCGATACTAAATGCTCTAAGATCAATTTTTAAACCGATGCAGGCTGTAAGTTGACAGATAAGTTGATGTTACAGGGATTTCAACAACCTCGTAGGCATTTCATAAAGTCTATGGTCATTATACTGACCTTGTAAGCAAGTATAATCAATCATTGGGTCGTGTTGTTGTTAAGCCTTAAATGTTTTTATATTTAATTTGACTACGGAATATTCCCTCTACCTGATCAATACATGGGGGGGGGGGGGGGGGGTTGGCCGATCGACAGGGGATGCTTAAATTACTAGCTCCTCCTAGGCACCTGATCCAACCTCTGGAATTTCCATTTCCGGTGATCCGTTTTTTATGCCCTGTTCACAGATTTGTATTGTTTGTAATTTTTTTGTTTTGAGATCGATCACTGTTCGTTATCTTCACCTTTTGACAATACAAGCATTGGCAGCTAGAATTTCTTGTAAAATTGGCAAGCCCTTCTACTATTTATTCGTAAAATAAAATTTTCTTTCAATTTCTCTCAATAAGAGAGATATCTCTATAGCTTAGAGAGATATCTCTTTAGATTATAGAGATATCTCTTTATATAAATTAAAGATATCTTAAATTTTTTACTAAAAGAGATATCTTTATAACCTAGAGAGATATCTCTTTAAAGAAAAGAGATATCTCTTTAAAGAAAAGAGATATCTCTTTTTACAAGAGAGATATCTCTTTTACTTAGAGAGATTTCTTTTTTTTAAACTAGAGAGATATCTCTTGAAGCGAGAGAGATATATACTAGTATCTTAAAGTTAGATAGATATCTCTTTAACAACGTTAAAAGAAATATCTTTCTAAGTAAGAGAGATATCTCTTAAGATTTTCAAAAAGAGATATCTTACTAAGTTAAAGAGATATCTCTTTTCCAGTTATCTTTGAAATACAATAATTATTTCTTCCCTATAATACGAAAGCGAGGCTAGACGCGCCATGACAGGGAGTACATGTATATCACGTAGCTCTCTGAAATAGTTTTGAGAAAAAGAATCAGCATGTCCAACCCCAGAATGAAGTATGTAGAAAAAAATGCTAAATCCCTTGTTTGAAACAACAAAGTGATAATGACAACTTCGTTATGAACATGCTAAAGGCTTTATATTCAAATGAAAGTAAGCAATAATCTCAACTGCAATAGACCGAATAGACTCTGCTTATGAAATAA